ATATATATATATAATGTATATATTACGTCCAATATATAACTTTACATTTTTGGTATCCAATATTTACATGCTATATATGTTTAATCATAAATATATTAATTTACGTAATGGCCTTCGCGGAGAGGAGATTAAATAGCTCATTTCCGAACCATCTTAAGTCCATTTATTTTTTTTTCTTTTTTAATAGAGATCATACGTTCATTGCAAGATCTCCATAGTTTTACCCATAACACATAATTGCAATCTTTTTAAATAAATAATTATCAATGTCGCAGGTTTAAGATGATTTGAAAATGATTTCTGCGAGAAACAGAAAAGATTTGAAACAAACCTGTCTCTGTCTCTCTCGTTAAAATTCTCGTAATATTTCTCCGCAATATTACTCGATTACTATGTCGATTACTATCTTCCTTAGGATCGAACGCGCGGCCAGTTTAATTAACCGCAATCCCTTGGAAGGCTCGTCGCGTGTACGTGCACACGAACTCCATTGATTACGCTACATATACTTTTATTTACGGAACACTTTCGTTGTGTAACAATATCGTTATATGTACGCCGTTGTTCTTTTTTTTCTCTTATATACTTATATTGATAAATATCGCTCGTTTCGTAATCGTTTGCTCTGAATGAGAGTAATATCAAGTAGCGTCTTAGGTATATACGGTACAGTTCCTATTCACAGGATGAGTCGAGAGAAGCAAGCTTCAAGTATTTCCTTTGAATTCGATGATAAAAAGCAAATGTGTAGAACAGTTAGACAGTTTAAAACGAGTTTTTTAATATTATGTTAAATTCGTTCGGTTCGAATGTCATGGTTGGCAGAAATGTATAATTAAACTATTTTTTCTTCCTCTTTAACTTCTATTAACTGTATACTTTTTTTTCAATATCTTCGAACCCAAAGAAAATTACTTCATGTTTCATTTTTGACTCATCCCGTAGTCTTATTAATTCGATAATAACATTTTTATAATCGATGGCTTATAAGTGTAGCTTACATATATTACTAATTTGGCATGTAACAATTGTGACAGTGTGTTTATAATTGCGACAGATGTTGCGCCCTAAAGTTTGTTGTTAAATATTTAGAGAGATTTACCGAACTCTCGTTCTTATACAGAACATCTTGCGCAACAAGTCGAATAAATTTTATTTATGAATTCTTTGGTAAGTAAAAACAGGTTTCATCGAGTGCTATTTTCTCTTGTTATTCTTCCATAATTTTTAACATTATCTCAATGGCCAAGACTTAATTAATATTTTATTAAAGATCCATTTGAATCTTAACAGAGAGAATAAGATCTTATTGTCCAACCGCGCTTTTAACTCGCAGAAACGTGGCTCAAGAGAATATACTAGCATTCCCATTAAGAGAAATTCTAGTCTAGATTGCACAAAGAATTCATAAGTCGGACACATGGTGGAACACCCTGTACACGTTATGTTATTAGTCATACAATGTGATCGATGGGAAAAAGTTTCGAGTGCCTAAATCGTATTTCTAAAAATGTGAAATAAATATAAATGGTGGACGATACGATTCGTACGTGAAATGCGCAATGTCTCGATTAATTGAACGAAATCGAGTATGCAAATGCGAGAAAAATTAATTAAAATACCGCGGGGCAAGATTAAATGCATCTGGAATGCCACGATACTGTCTATAATTTCGATTACGCGAGAGTAACCGAAATTATACTGATATAACGGAATAAAATAAAAAAATCTGTATATATCTCATATAGCTCCTCTCTTGCCTGTATAACTTAATTGACCATCCTGTTACACGATAAGACAATAAAAGAATTCAATTCTATTCTTTTAAAACGAGTACTTGAACTATAATATGGCGAAAATAGATCTTTGTATATGTGCGTAATGATATATGTAATTTTCTACATGAGAAAGATATTCTGAATTTAATACTCCTGAGTATCGGTATTAAAGTAAAAAAAAACGTCGCGCGCGCGCGCGCGCGCGCGCGTGTGTGTGTGTGTGTGTGTGTATTCGCAAATGAGATGATACGACAAATTTGATATTCCTAAACGTCGAGATTAGAATAAAATCATCGTCCGAGTTTGTGACTATGTATAATATTTGGGATAACAACAACGCGAAACATATTTCACGCGAGAAAGATAATACCGTTCCGATATTTCTAAAAGCATCGAAAGATTAAAATAAAGAAGGGTCATTCATATCCGCGGTTTATACGTCAGAGTAACGTGAAAGGTTTTCACGTCCATCTCCGTACAATCCTGCGGTCCGATGATACCGTCGCCGCTGGTGCGCGATGGTACGCGCGCTTCCTTGGCTGCATGTTCGTCGAAGATCTCGTTGTGACTGTTGTCCAACATCTTCTCGGCCGTCGGCTGTTGTTGCTGATCTGCCGCCATCACGCGCACAATCTTCACGGTCTTAATCGCCTCCAGAGAACGCGACTTGGCCGCCTCCGTCACCACCGCTGCTGCTGCCGTTGTCGCCGAGCGACCGGTCCCCTTAGTGCCATTTTCCTTATTGCGACGAGACGAATTACGGTGCCAGCGTTGTTTCTCCCTGGAAGAAGTTCTCCGAAGACTCGGCCGTTTCACTGACTCTGCGCTAGCACTCAAACCTGTGGCTATATTCGAAGGAATTTCAGTAGAAAAAATTAGATAAAATTAAATAAAGACTTATAAACAGAGACTCAAATATTTAAAAAATTTAAAAATCAAGGAAAAGCATGCGTGTCTGAACATGCACTCGGAACATTGCGATAAAAATAATATAAAAATTTAATATAATCGAAAACGTTCCTACAGATATAAATGTGAGAGATAATTGAATGATATTACTAAGACATTAATTAATAGATCAAAGTAAGATAAAAATATCTTATCGATCAATTTTGTTTTACCTAGCTTAGATAAAAAGATAAGAAATCTCTAAAATTATGTATTTACCAATATTGCCGGAGGAAGACCGATTAGAACCACGTAAAATATGTATCGCCGTAGGATCGCTGTCCGTCGTCACCATGGGCGTGAGAAACCATTCAGATCTAGTTCGCATTCGTGCGGCTTGTCTCTCGTGAACCTGTGATCGCAATGAATTAATTACCTCGCTTTTGTCATTATTATGAAGTATGATTATCTTACCTGTGGCAAATAACTGAGACTCTTGGTACTTTCAGCGTAGCGGTTCACCGCCCGAAGCTCTTCCAATGTCATGTCCGCAGTCATGCGTTTAGAATGTTGACTACCGTTGCTGGACGAGCGACTGGGCGCCTGTAAAATTTACTATACTGTTTTAAATGTTCCGGATTTAAAACTAAATAGCATTTTTTTTTGTAATAGATGATATATACCTGAAACAGACCGTTCTCTTCTAAACTAACCGAGAGACGCGTATAACTCTCGAGTAAAGTATTCTCCGGAATCATACCTAACGACGATGCAAGATTTACAGATTCTGGCACGTGAATCAACGCTGGAGTTGACTGCGATTCTTCATGATGAGACATACCTATTATACATATAAAAATTAGCAATTATTATGGTTACATTGGATTACAATAAAAGGCCTGAAAAGCTCAATACAAAAAGATGTCAAATCCACTTACATTCTAAATTAAATTTCAATCCCCATTTTTCACACTCATATTGCAACCATGACTTCTCAGCTTCCAGTGACAATTGCCCTAAAATTTGTACATTCAAATTGATTAAATCGTTGCGATCAGAAATGCGCATCGCGAGTGTGTAAATACTTACTCGATACGAGAGTGTCTGGCGGATATCGAAAACTGAAGATCCAATCTTCTTCCACTTTCAATATTCGGCCGGTTATACGCGCGTAATACTCGTAATTGTCCCTTCCGAATAGATTAGAAACGCCAAAGTTATCTATCATGAACTTGGTAATGCGTGTGGCAATCTAAAAATAGATTATCGATCAAATGATGTCTAAGTCGATATTTTCATAACAAAATACATTTTCCTCGAAATAGTAATTTAATAGACTGAGTGATTTATCAAATAAAAATTTGTATAATTATTTAAAAAAACGGAAGACAAACAAACAATTTAAACAATTTAAAAATTTACAGAAAGTTACAAAGATTTCTCATATAATTTAAATAAAAATAAAATGTAAGATGATCTTAAATGATTAACAGATGCCATTGGTTCGATGGGAAGAAGAATTGTCCAATTATAACAACGAAAATTAGATTACACATTAAATACCTTAAATCTGAGAACATCCTCCATCTTAGCAGTCTTGCCATCACTGACGCAGCTATGAAAGAACGAAGGTGCCACGGATACTCCCAGGGCCTCGCTGGTCATCCCCGTGTGCGCTCGTTCGCAGTTTACCGCTACTACCCTGAATGTCCCAAACAGCAATACTAGTAACCGTTGCGTGTATATCGGCATGGAGGTGATTAATCTGCACAGTAGAAATTTCCGTTGCCATGAAACGCCGACGAATGACCGATCATATGCGTCTTCGCGAGAGATCGTCACCTGTGTATCTGGTCCCGTTGTTGTTCTATGCTATCTAGCTGAATTATGGCAAACAGTTGTTGCTCCGCTTCTTTTCCGAATATTCCACCGGGTATCTTTCGCAAAAATTTCTTTAGAACGCTAGCTATTGTGTAAACACTAAAATTGTCCATATTGACCAGGTGTCCAGTTTGCAAGAAGTGTACCAGTTTCTTCATATTGCCCTGATGACCAGGTGCTCGGAAAATATCCTTTCTAAGCGGGGCTTCTTTGTTCAGTTTCAATATAAGGACCTAGAATAAAAGGAAACTATATTTGGATTCATCATAAAGGATCGATTCACTTTGTTCAAACAAAAAAAACATTTGTTTACCAGCAACGGACCAGGAATATCATTCTTGCACACTTCGTTCAGGGGTGCGCCAAACTTGACCCTATTGAGAAAAAAGGTTTACAAATGTTACTTTTCAAGTAACGTGAATATCGGTTTCGGACTCCAACGAGACAAGAGCAGAATTACTGCATGAATTCTAGAGCAGTGTATCAAAGTAAGTTTCTTTCTAAGATAGGCGCAGGACAAATAAAATGTATACATTAAATTAGAGACGTCTGTCTGTTATACAAATTGGGCTATTAAATATTGCTAATCTAGAGCCCGACAGTCTTTAATGAGAGCTATTAAGATAAATCTTTGAGATGTAAACACATATTAGTATCAAAATCTTCTTCAAACTCTGTGATTACTTACAATTCTATACCACGCATCTCCTTAGAGCATCATCAAATATATAATGCACATAGTCGATAATATTTTCTCGAAATTAAATATCAACTATCATATCTGCGAAAAAATTTAAAAAAACCTTTATTACCCCAATTAATTTTATTATACTATCTCATTGTGTTTTCTCTCTATCATCTATATGGTTAATTACCATCTATACAAGAAATTAAGTTGCCTAACTTATATAAACAATTAGTTTATATAAATCACATCTCAATATATGAATACATGATAGAATCAGACAATTTAT